ACTGCGTGAGATCTATATCCCAAAGGAAAAGGGGGGGCAAAGACTTGAATCAAGATATATATGCTACTTGGTAAATATAATTTTTTTTTTTTTTTTTTTTGGTTTTTCGAGACAGGGTTTCTCTGTGTAGCTTTGCGCCTCTCCTGGGACTCTCTTGGTAGCCCAGGCTGGCCTCGAACTCACAGAGATCCGCCTGACTCTGCCTCCCGAGTGCTGGGATTAAAGGCGTGCGCCACCACCGCCCGGCCGGTAAATATAATTTTAACTAAAAAAAATCTCCAATTTTTTTGGAGGTTTGATATGAAACAATTTCTGTCTGATGGAAAAAACAGAGTAACCAGCATAGATCTAAGATGAAGAGTAAGAACAGAGATGGTCACTTCACCAGATGTTCATACATATTAGAAAGACTTAATAATTACAGTGATATTGAATTACTGAAAAAAAAGATTGACAAATAGATTAATAGTTTTGAATAGATAGCTCTGAATTCAATATGTCAGTAAATGAAGCATCACTAATGGGGAGGACATGGATTATCAACAAGCAGCACTAGGAATCCTGGCCAGTGGCTGTGGAGACATCTGACTGAACACATGCTTCTACATGCTGAAATCCATCCCCGGTTAAAGAGGGAGGTGTGAAGAGGGTAAAGGGAGCAATGGGAAACTGAAAGTGTAGTGCAAGACAAAAGTTACAAATAATAAGTTGGAGCGTAGCTGTTTGTGATGGCTATCACGTAGGAGAGTTGGCATTTGCATGCTAGCATCGGTCCTTCACGGTGTTCTGGGACTTTGTACAGTTGCATCAATATATGTGCATGTCAGTGCGAGGAAACCCTCAGAAGAGAGCTCTTTGAAAGACTCATCCCGTTTCTTTTGGAATGCTCAGGTTTTGTTGTTTGTATATTTTGTGTGTTCTCACCTCATTTCTCTCCCACGGGGTAACATTTAGGTTGTAAATGCTTTTTTCTCCAGTTTCTTTTTCAAAAGTGTGCCTGAAACATGGCACTTTCCTATATTCTCCGGAAGAGGATGATTTAAAATTATGCTGAGATCTATAAAACAACAATAATGTAAATGATAGGGAGACTGTTGCATGACAGTGGAAAGGATGCTTTTGTATTTATTTACACAATACTTTGGCCTACAAAAACAGAGAAGTAAAGTACCTAGAGAACCAATTGACCTCTTTACAATCCTCATTTTCCAGACTGGAAAGGATGATTTCTTTGTGTATCTGCATGTAAACACACACACACACACACACACACACACCTTTTAAGGACACATTGACATCAAAGTGAAAAGTCAACACAAACAAACCACTTGAAGTAAATGTATTAATGAAGCCATGGGGGTGAGCTGGATTTGGTGAGAGGCAAAGGTACCTTCAAATCCTCAGAGGATGCTTCTCAACCAGCATCCTCACATCTTGCTGCTTCCATCCTTAACTGCCACAGGCCACACTCAGGGGCTACAGCTTAACTGTGGCAGTCCCCAAATAAGAACCCATCCCAGAGGCCTTGGGCTACAGAGATGGGAGACTTAGAGGAAGTGCCCTGACTTCAGTGGGACCCTGCAGCTACCTGCCTTTGTGTTGGCATTTACAGGGAACAGAGATGGCTATAAGCGTGTTCTGACCTTGTGATCTGCAGGAATTACCTCATGTAACCATTACCAAACAACCCTAGAATATAGGTAGTTTCATTCTTTCTATTTTCTATATTATGGAACTGAAGTACAGAGAAGTAAAGAACCTTGCTATCATCCACTCAAATGGAAACTGGTGTGGCTGTGGTTTGAGCTCTTTGTGGGAGGCTCTTACGATCTTCACAACTTTGTGAGGAGGTCAAGAAATATCCTTCCTAGTTTATACTAAGGCAGTGGGAAGCGCAAATGGGTTACTGGAATTAATACATTTTTGTTCAGTGATCAGAAAGAAACAGCTGAGCAGGGATAGATATGTGATAAGGAATGAATGGAGGGAAAATGGCTTAAAAAACCTGGGTCAGAAAAAAAAGTGCCCTGAACTTTTTTAGATGAAACATGAGCTGCATAAAGAGGACGAGGACTTGAGAAGAAGCCCGCGGTGGTAGTGTGGTGGCGGTCCTGAGCACAGAGAGAATGCAGACATGCCAGCCTTAGAACTGTCGAGATCCACAGCAGTCTGGGTAGTAGACAGGAACAGAAATCACACCCATGCTGCTCCCTCCTGTGGTTTTGGAATCTACCTTCCTGAAATACTAGCTCCCGTTTGGTATCGCTGTTTATGTAAGACGCTTATTCATTGTGTGCAACTGTTTATCTAAGACGCTTGTTAATTTAGATCTCTGCTTATTTACATAGCTTTTGTTAGTTTAGATAACAAGAGTGTAAGCTGAATGTAAACCACCAAAATGAAGTTTCGATTAAGCAGAAGGATTTTTGCTTACTTTCTGAGTATAAGCGTGGCAATGAAGTTTAGGTAACTATTTTTAGAGTTTTAGAACTAAAACAGTATCCGTTAGCCTCTGAACTTGCTGCTTGACTTTTTTAATCACACTTTTTTTTTTGATTTTTCAAGACAGGGTTTCTCTGTATAGTTTTGGTGCCTGTCCTGGATCTTGCTCTGTAGACCAGGCTGGCCTCGAACTCACAGAGATCTGCCTGGCTCTGCCTCCCGAATGCTGGGATTAAAGGTGTGCACCAGCACCAGCACCACCATCACCACCGTTCGGCTTAATCACACTTTTTTTTTTTTAATTCTGAAATGTTCTATAAGTAGCCTCACAAGCAACATACATATGATGAAAAACTTTTATAAAATGATTTGCTAAATGTGATTCTTTTCCATTAAGATTGTCACTTACCTGATTTTTGTCTGGCTAATTTGGTAGATATCGAAACTGATGAATTGTTAAAAGTATTTTTTTTTTTATTTAAAATTGATGCTTATCTGCCAGCTGCAAGGGGAATTCGTTTACCTCCTTTATGTTTCAATGTTGTCCAAGTTTGCATAAAGGTATGTCCCTATCAGAGTTACCATTACAAATATTGTCTCTTTAGTGTTAACACATAAATAACTGTAAGTTCTAAATCCTCTACCAAAGTAGCAAATTCCAAGTCCTAAGCCCTTCCCAGACTCCCCTGCACCTCTCCACATACATTCTTTCCTCTCTAATCTCTGTTATCCGAGTCCCTCGGTGACTTAGAGCTACCAAACAGGTTTCTAGTGTTTGAACTAATAGGTTTTTTGTTTTTAAAAGATTTTTTAGTCTGAAATATTTTGGCTATGCCTCAGGGGAGAAAAATAAAAGATACTTTTAATCCATGATTATAACAACCTTTTTATGATTTTCTTTTAATTGCTAGAGCTGACACGAATGAATACAAGATGATTCATTCAGTGAGAATTTGGATGCTGGTGGAAATCCAGGTGAGTTGAAAGAAAGGCCTGGAACTTGTGGGGGAAATGGTGTTGGGAGGAGAGAAGAAGACTGAACACATGCAGGAAAACCTACACAGCCAGCTTGAGCTGTACTCTTTAAGCCCGATCAAGGCCAGTGCAGACAACAAACACCAGGATGGGGGGGGGGTGGGGGGGGCGCGGCCGCGCGGGGAGCCCGGGGTGAAAAGTTTCTAAGCTGACTATTACGTAGATGTAACTCACTGACTAGTGTGCCCATGTGGGATTTTAATTACTCGGACATCTGTTTAGCGAAGTGTACTACTAAATAGGGATCAAATACAGAGGTCAGATTACGTGGGGAGGAGAGTAGAGATGACATTCATGAGTCAGAAACGAGAGCTATCAGCCAGGGGAAAATCAATCCTGGCCTTACGTCTCACCAACAGAGAAGCAATTATTTTAGATGTGGGGCTGGTTAGCATCCTCGGTCATGAATTTAATTAAATAAGCCTCGAGTGGCGGAAAACAGAACAAAACACCGTATTTAACTGTCAGTAAAACATGCAGCATATAAATGATCCAAATGCCTCCCCCCCTCCCCCACCATAGGTCTGTCATAATTTTCCTTCCTTTGCCTAACTTAGTCTTTTCTTCCCAAAGGCCTCCAGTGAACTCGTTGGTATAGATGGTTTAAACCAGAGAAGCAGAATGTAGCATGGACATCGTTGCAAAGGAGTAATTTGAAAAATGGAAGAAAAAAAAAAGATGCAAGGATTGAGCCGCCATTTGAGTTCCTTCCTTGGGTTCAGTACAAACGCTAATAAATTCACAGGGATATCTTGAAATAAAACCCCTGTGACACTCTTACTGATCCTTATTTGGCACCTTGGATGGATAAGGCAAAAGACACAAAACTTAAAAGTTCAAGTGGTCAGAGCAAGAACTGTAGGAAACTTCCCTAAGCATGGAAGAGACCGAGAAGAGAAGAGTACATGGTTGCTTTTGAGATGGGTATGGCCACGTAGAGCCCTCTTCTGGGTCTTTCATTGTCTCAGGACTAGCTCCGGACTCTGGTCTCCTTCCCCTTCCTCAACTACTTCCCTCGGCAACACCAAAGTTCTTCCACAGCCCAACCCGGATTCATCTGGCTTCCTCCAGATGCCGTTCTAGAACTGCAAGCAGCAGTGTTTGTAGACAGCAGAATCCAACAGGAGAGAACCTGAGTGAAACTGCACATTTACAAATGTGGTGCCAGCAGGGAGCAACCAAGCCACTGCCCCGTAAAACAAGTACTGTGCGCTTAGTTCCTACTAGCAGGGAACAACCAAGCCACTGCCCTATAAAACAAGTACTGTGCGCTTAGTTCCTACTAGCAAGGAACAACCAAGCCACTGCCCTATAAAACAAGCACAACCAGTGTGCTTAGTTCCCAGTGCCTCAGAGTCACTCCAAAAGACTCAGTTATCACTGTTTCAGGAGTCAATTCTAAAATTCCCAGGAGACTTTGATTGGTGAGTTCACACAGTAAATATTCAAGCGGCAGCTGTGGGATTCATGCTGAAGGTCTCCTTACAGTGTGTGTGTGTGTGTGTGTGTGTGTGTGTGTGTGTGTGTGTGTGTGTGTGTGTGAAGGGGGGTGTGTGTGGGGGGGTGGTTCATTCCTCCTAGTAGTGGTTTTTGTTTGTTTGTTTGTTTTTGCTATTTTAAAATCCTAAGAATTGCTTCAGGCACTGCTGACCTCCACCGAGTCCATGGGGCCCGCACAGCTAGCTAGAGCAGCAGTCTTGCCCTAGCAGAACTTGAAAAGAGCCTGTTCCTGCTTGGCAAGCTGTCCTTTCATAGCGTCTTCACCTGGGCCAGGGATGTAGTTCAGGGACAGAACATTTGACTATCATGCTGTAGACTCTGGGGTTCATCAACAGCCCTGAAAAAAGAAGACACAGCCAGAGCAGAGTTCCTTTAAGGATCACCAACGGCCACGATGGTTCATGGGACTCTGCAGGTTCATTCATTCCGTAATCTCTTCTTGATCACTTCCTAGCACCAGGCTGAACACAAAGCCGACCAAGTATGGCTCCTTGCTTGCCCTTGTGAGTAAACCTAGATGTGGGTATAGAATAAGCAACAATCTAAGGCTGCCTCAGAATAACTGCATATGAACACTGGGTTCCAAAACCGCTTCCCTTGTACGAGAAACCTGAGGATTTTGCCTGGTGTGAGGCAGTCATTGGTACGGAAGGTAAGATGTCAACTATTCAGGGCCTTCATTACGCTACCTGGAATGAGAACTGAGTTGACTCCATGAGGAAGCCTAGCCTGGTGTTATTTCTTTTCATGCTATAATTCAGAGGATATGGTTTGATTATGGAGTTGCTTTTTGAGAAGTTGATGGTGGGCCGGCCAGTGAGATAGCTCAGCAGGGAAAAAAAGTGTTTGCTGTGTGTAAGACCCACGGGTTTGATCCCAGAACGCACGTAAAGTTGTTAGGAGAGAGCTGGCTCCACAAAGCTGTCTTCTGGCCTTTATACTCCTGCTATGGCATGTAAGCCCACACATGCCCTTGACACACAAGACTTCGTATAAAAAAATACTTTCTGCCACTAACAATTCCAAAGCCTACTCCAGAGACACACGGATTGCCTCTGTGCTCACCATGTAAATTCTAAAATTCTCAGGAAATCTGAAGAATTTGGATTATTTTGATCTGGCTGGATTCCAATGTGACCCAGTTGCTTTAATGCTCTTTAATTACTTTTAATCAAATGAAGGTGTTAATTTTAAAATTTGACAAATTATTAAGATTCATTCTGGCTGTGAGTAGATTTAATTCAGTTCATTTCTGGGGTTAGAACATAAAACATGACTAGCCATATGGAGTAGTACACATCTATAATCACAACACTATGGAGGCTGAGGCAAGAGGATCTTAAGTTCAAAGCCAGCTTAGGCTTCAAGCAAGACCCTGTTTCAGAAAAATGGAAAAGGAAAAAAAAAAAAAAGCATGACTCTTAGATTCTCCACTTGAGACGAGCAAGTGCAGGATCATTGCTGGCCTTTACTCCTGAGGAAGCTGGGCGTACAGCTGCTGAGGCTTCAGTGGATCTCCAGTGTGGAATGAGTACCTCTCCCTTTTCCGCACCCTAGCCCATCCCGTGCTGGTGCATAACCTAGTGCGTACAAAAACCCAACCACTCATAGTCCCTGGTTGCCATGCCTACCCCGACATAATTTCTGTTCTTGTCAGTTTTCTGTTAAAACTAAGAATGGACATCAAGAGATACCCCTATTGTATCATGTGTCAAATATTCTTTCCTTCCTGCCTTCTTTCTGTAATGCAGCCTCACCTCCTCCGGGAGACCAGGTTCAATAATCGCTACTGCTACAGTATTGAGTACTGCACTGAGTGGCAGCTGCATTGTAAAGTATAATCAGATCCTGGATCCTTTAATGACATCTCACCCCTCTGGGAAACAAGGTTTCCTGACCCAGAGAATGTAAGGTTTGGGTAACAGGAAGCACAATTGCCCAAATGTACCACTGAGAATGACATGAAGCAGGGTCATGCCTACTTCCCTCAGGCCTATGTTTCCATATATTTTGGACATAGCACCCATAAAATGTTCATTGATTTAGGGGGGCATCTCAGTCTATGAAGTGTCATCTCTAGGCTGGAATCTCCAAACTGGAGAGAACTAGTGGACTCTGGTCCAAGGCACTGTTACATGGGCATCCGATAGTAGCCGTAGCTGGAAGAGCCTTGGTGAATGGAAGACCACACTACTGAAATTCTACCTAACCATTGTCCCCGCACACTTGACCTACCCCTGTACCCTGTGCCAGCACTACATTGCTCTGAGCTGACTTACATGCGTGGCTCAGTGGGGAATGTCTTTCAGTGTCACTTTGGTAGCAGGTGCTTTGAGGATAGTTGACATGAAATGGGAAAGTTCAACCTTCATATTCATACTAGGGTTTCTCCTGTGTCCCTGATCAAACGACTGCCATGCATCTTACCCTGAGCCACACTTCTTCCCATGCAAAGTGGGTAACCAGTGGATCATCAGGAACTTTCCCCATTTTAAGGATTTCCCTTCACCACCCCTTTCAAGGTCATCTCAAGATTATGTAGCACAACAGCACCCACCCTTAGTTTGCACTTTTGACTAAGCCATCTGTGAGAAAATAGGTCGCTGTCCCCCTCACCCATCAGTCTGCTCAAAGGGCAACCCCATGCAGCCATAGTTGTGAAGACCAGTACAATGGCAGTGGATGACATTTGGGTCTAGTCCCTGAACTGGTGTCTTCCCTCTATGTTCATGCCCAACCCCATGTCTGCTACTTCCTTTTAATGACAGATTACTTCTACGCCCACCCAGGTTTATGACTTGTGTATAACCAGACCTCTGGCTACACAGCTGCATGATGTCCCATGATCAGATGATCCATCTAAGTCAGGCCATGGTAGTCTACAAGAACTTTTGGAATGTTGTTTTCTATGGGTGGTGTGAATCTTGCTCCAGGACCCTAGAAGTCTATGCTGTGATTCTCCTTTAATGATTCCTAGTAACTTCCTGGCCTAATTTTCCCAACAAACCCCACTAATACCATAGGGTGTTCTGAGTGGCATGTCAGAGCTTCCTGCTGTACAGTTCTTTTACTTGGTAAAGGGATCGAACAACATCCTGGTGATGAGAACACACCACTAAGTACATTTCTGAGGTGACGACTCTCTCCTTAGACAGTGGGATGGAGATTTGAGAGTCATGCCGCTCTGGAAACTGAGCTAGTGACAGCAGCAGTATCTAGTGTGGTTTCCATTTCTGTGATAGAACACCGAGCAAAAGCAACTTGGGAAGGAAATGGTTGATTTGACTTACAGGTTACAGTCCATCATCGAGGAAACCTAAGGCAGGACCCAGAGTCAGGAACTGAAGCAGAGGCCACAGACCTACTGGTTTGCTTCCTCCAGCTTGTTAAAATCCTTTTCTTCGATAGCCCGGACCCACCTGCTTAGGGATGGCACCACCCACAGTGGGCGGGCTACTTCTTAATCAGTAATTAAGAAAATGCCCTCACAGACATGCCCACAGGCCAACCTGATGGAGACTTTTTTTTCTTTTCTTCTTCTTTTTTTTTTTTTGTTTTGTTTTTTAGTGACAGGATTTCTCTGTGTTACCAGCCTTGGCTGTCCTAGAACTTGCTCTGTAGACCAGACTGGCCTTGAACTCACATGAATCCACCTGCCTCCGCCTCCTGAGTGGTGGGATTGCAGACATGCACTACCACGCTCAGCTGGAGGCCATTTCTTAATTGAGATTCCCCAGCACAGGCAGCTACTGAAGTCTCCTAACCCATCCATTCTTGGTTTATCATTGTTTTAAGCTGTTACCCTCGTAGACCACCCTCATCTTGCCTCTAGAACATTAAGTTCTATTCACTGTCTTCATAGACACTTGGATAGGACCACTGGATGACACATCACCTTGTCTTTTTGTTGCAATAATTGGCTTATCTGGCTTCTGTTATTCTGGGATCCTATCCTTGTTTCTGTCAAAGAGCCCCACTCTATAACTGTGTCTCTTCGGTCAGCCCTCCATGCAGAAGACAGCCTCCACTGACGTCCTTAGCAATCATTACCCTGTTAATGTACTTTATCACATGGTCTGTCCTGTGGGCTCTGGCTGGTCAGTTCCATCCTTACATAGTGTGACACTTGGAACTGTTGGTACCTTTCATCACTCTGCTGTGACAGTTGTAACATTTCACATCTTTACGAACAGCTGATATTTTCTCCAAGTTTCTATGAGCCACCCTAGCACCTGTGTCCCCTGCCAGGATAATAAATTCCTTATCCCGACAGAGTTCCCACTATGGATAAACTCTCCTTATGTAATGCTAGCCAGTATTCTCTGTGACTATAGTGTTAGGTATGAAAATGAGCCAAAGTTTTCCTTTCGTATGCAAAAGGAAAGTGTCGTCACCACAATAAGGATTTCCTGCTAGAACAGAGACCTGTTATATCCCAGCCCAGGTTCTTGGCTAAATGAAGCACAGCAGACTTGCCTTCCTGGGAGAGACCTGCCATCTTGTAATAAGGATATATTATCAGTATATTAATTTTGGTCCAATTTTTAAAATAAAAGTGCATTTTAAAATAAAAATGTTCTTTTACAATATGCTTTGCTTTCAATACATAAAAAAATCTCTTAATTTGATCTTATATCCAATGTTTATAAGTGTAAGATTAATGGCTCAGTTTTTTTTAAGAATTATTATTATTATTATTATTATTATTATTATTATTATTATGTGTGTGTGTAAGCACGTGTGCATGTAAGAGTGTGCACATGGGTACCTATGGAGGCCAGAATTTGACATCAGATCTCCTGGATCTGGAGTTACAGATGGTTTTGAGTCCCAGAAGTGGGTGCTGGGAACCTAACTCTGGTCCTCTGCAAAAGTTACAAGCACTCTTTAACTGCTGCCTCCTCTCCCCAGCCCTCAGTTAGTATTTCTGCTAACTTTAACTTTAGGTTTTACTGTGGAATGTTCTTTTTGGTAAAGAAGTGGGAAATGATGGTAGTAAGCACAGATGTTTCTAGGCTTTGTAAAAGAAAAATGCTGATTCCTTTTACGAGATTAACTTTGCTGCTGGCTCCATGGTGTAGTGTTTAGTGCTTTGAACTTTGAATCCAGAGATTAACTTTGAATTTTTCAAATTTATTTATACAGCAGTGTTACCTGGAGTGCTTTTCTAAACAGCATTTCCCAAAAAGTTTGAAGAGTAGCAAACTGACTGTCATTGAGTGCTTGCGTGCACAACAGTGCAGAGCATGTTCTGTACAGCAGCGCCGGTACTTCTGGGTGTCATGGTCTGCGCACTGGACATCATAGATTTGCGTATTTACAAGGAGAATTTTCCAGCAGATGGCAGTCAAGTGTCTGTTTTAACAAAATAAGATTATTCCACCAATTTCTGCCAATGGAAATAATGTCTTGAGAATTGGCCACCCTTTTCAACTCACACAAAGATATGTGGAGGAATGGTGGTACTGCTTACTCTCCTGCCGAGTCCTATGTGTTTTCAGCCTTGTTTAACCCTCAGAATTGTATCCAGGGAGTGCTGTTGGTAACCAGCCCATGGCCTCACTCAGCTCATAGTAGTTTGGGGATTCTCGTGGATCTTGGTCTCCTTAAAACTCTATAGTCCCTTCTACACTACACTATTTCAGAAAACTAAAGCCTCAGAACTTGAAGAGACTTGACTGACTGTAGCAAGAGAGTTGTCTCAGCCTAAATCAGCCAGGGGCCAGCAACCCTGGCTCAGCCCAGCCCAGCCCAGCCTGCGTTCCTTCTGCCCACTGCGGGCTTTCTGCGGTGCTGGAGATACTGGGAGCACCAATGCTTGTATGGTTTACACTGTACATGCCACAGAAATATGTAAAATGGAGAACTCAAAGTAGGTTTGAAATCATTCCCACACAGCTGAACATCTTTATATCCAGCATACTTTGAACATATACCATCAGTAATGTATACATTTTATATTTTAGTATAAATTTTTTACTAAGAATGTGTTGCCAATAAATTCTGTGCATGCACAAACTAACAGGCTTTGGTTAATGTGTAACTATCTATACCAGACCATCTTGTGATGGTGATATATTAATATTCTTGGTCCAGCATTCAGTTAAAATTACTATAGAAAAAATACCAATCATGAATGAAAGGACCTCAGAAATACATATTTTTATACTGATCACTAAATTAATTACTGAGGAAATACTTTCCCCTAAACCCATTTTAGGTAAATAGTGAAAACTTTGCTCTGTAAAACAAAGAAACTGCTGTGTCTCTGGGAATTTTATTTTAAAATTCTTGAATAACATGGATACATTTTCCCCAATTTTTTCCCTAACTGTACAAGGCTTAGGAAGCCATCTGAAGTTGGGCTAACTTCTTAATGGCGTCTTTCCCGGGTTCTGCGATCTGGAATGTTTTTGCTTCCCTCCCCCATTTCACACTATAACTGACATTTACAGACGAAGCTCTGCGTTCTTTAAAGCAGTTCCTCTGATTAGGATATGACTGTAGAGCCTCCAGGACTAATGAAAAACAAAATGATGTTCATATTTTACCAAAATCTAATTTTAGAACTTGAGAGGCTTTGAAGCAATTGGTAAATACAACAGTTATAGATACAGACTTGTCACTTGATCCTGTCAGTCTCTAAAAGTAACTACAAATTAAGTTTTCTAAATGTCAAATTTGATGGCCAAATAAGCCCCACCGTTTGCTAGCACCTATCTTAAGGGATGTTACAGAAATGTCTTCGTCCTTTCAGGGTCAGTTTCTGAACCTAACTTCTTGGGGATGGCCTTTGGGATTTAAGGCCAGGGTGACTGTTGAGCAGAGTTTTATCTCTAGCAGCAAGTAAAGCTTTCATTCTTTAAGAGAAGGGGTTTTCATTGAGAAGAAAGGTTAGAAAAACAGGCCAATGTCCTATGAATATGAAGTTGTCATTTGTTTCGCATGCTGAATTAAATATGACTGCTTTGTGCTCAGTGTGGCTTGTGGCTGTTTTGCTCCATCTGGGAGAGAGAGAGAGAGAGAGAGAGAGAGAGAGAGAGAGAGTGTGTGTGTGTGTGTGTTAGAAAACTCCATGAGGGCAGGAAGTGTAGCTTTGCTTTAGTACAAATCATTGGGCTTAACCCCCACTTAAGAATGAGGACTGGGAGACACTGCGTAACTGCTGGCCAACATGTCTAACTTTGCCCATCAGATCTCCCACAGATCACATCAAGTTTATGTAGAATGGAGGTGTTACAGCACCTGCTTCATATAGGCTGTTTCCATGAGCATCTTCTGAGAAAGCTGAATGTGTATCATCACCCTCCCTACGAGGCGAGTGACCAGAGCCCAGGCTTCACTATCCCTTTCAGAAAGGTACTGCTCATTTTATCTCTTCCCACACAGGTGAAGTAGCTTCATCTACGAAAAAGAAGGTCTGGCCAACTCTACTCCCAAAGCCCTAACAGCAGTTATCCCTCATATGTGAGGAATCCGTATAAAAAGTTAAAATTTGAGCCGGGCGGTGGTGGTGCACGCCTTTAATCCCAGCACTCGGGAGGCAGAGCCAGGCGGATCTCTGTGAGTTCGAGGCCAGCCTGGGCTACCAAGTGAGTTCCAGGAAAGGCACAAAGCTACACAGGGAAACCCTGTCTCGAAAAAACCAAAAAAAAAAAAAAAAGTTAAAATTTGAATAAACTGCCAGGGGACTGAGAGAGAGGTCAGTCTGCAGAGACAATTGGCACCAACAAAACTCAAACCAGTAGTGAAGATACCAGAGAATATCGTCAATGACAGACATTATGTTTGCTTTAACACACATAAAAGGATTTTTAATGCCATATTTAAAAAGTTTAATGTTGCTTAAAATGTCTTATAAAGAAACATTTTATACAGGTGGGTGTGGAGGCATGCCCCTTAAAGCCAGTATTTCAAAAGCAGAGGCAAGCAGACCTCTCAGAGTTGGAGGCCAGCCTGGCCTACATTGTGAGTTCCAGGACAGCCAGTGGTACATAAAAGATAGACCTGCCTCAAACAAAACAAACAAAAAAAGAAACATAACTTAAAATTTCCTAATCCCATCTGATCAAATTAGAAACATCTAGCAGGACAGTATTATTTTATTCTTAGTGTAGTATTCTTTGATAAAGATAAAATGATATAGAAAGTGAACAATGTCAACTACAAAGTGTAATGGTAATAGGAAGAAGCAAGAGGGAAATCACCATTCTAATATCTAAGGATATTTTAACCGAGGTAAATTAATTTTTGTTACCACCATCGTGGTCATCTAAGAAAAACTGCTGTCGTGGTTTTGTTGGTTGTTTTTGTTTCAGACAGGGGCGTATTCTGTCACACAGACTAGTCTCAGACTTGAACTCCTGACACCATGGCTTCCCCAGTGCTGAGCTATCACACATGATTGAAAAAGTCTAATTAATGATGAAGCCGGGCGGTGGTGGCACATGCCTTCAATTCCAGCACTCAGGAGGCAGAGACTGACGGATCTCTATGAGTTCAAGGCCAGCCTGGTCTACAGAGTTCATTCCAGGACAGCCAGGGCTACACAGAGACCCTGTCTTGAAGAACCAAAAACCAACCAACCAACCAAACACGAAAAGGACTGGGGAAAGCTACTTTTATCTCCTCAAATCATTAAATGGCTCATAAGACAAACTGGATAGACAGGAAAGAGAAAGGGAAGCTAAAAAATTGGGAATAAAATAAAGCGTTATTTTCCTATGCAATGAGTCTAAGAAATTGCTGTAAGGAAATAAAATGGGCTATGAAAGTGTTAAGAAAGGAAATCAGGAGTGGGGGTTATGCATTGGACACACATGACCATGAGTTCAGTCCTCAGCATGCTCACAAGAAGGAAACCACTAGATACTCTAGTTTGACACAAGGAAAAGAGATGGGAGTTTGGTGCTGGTTATGAAGAAGCTTTTAAAGCTGCAAGAAAGCTGTTTGCTGGGAGAAGGTAAGGAAGACAGAGGTAAACCCAGGAGAGTGCTCCATGTAAACGGGTAGGGGTCTAAGAAGGAAAGTTGAAACCAGGTTTTCAGGACTGGGCCCACTGTAGTCTGGAAATTTTCTGAGTTATCCTGTCCCTCTCTGTTCTTCAAGTCTCCAGGAAAGGGCACTCAAGAAATATATCTTTAGGAGATATAGAAAGATGGCTTAGTGGTTAAGAGCCCTGGCTGCTTGCTCTTCCAGAGGACCCTAGTTCAATTCCCCGCACCCACATGATGGCTTACAATTATCTGTAACTCCAGTCCCAGGAGATCTGAAGCCTTCTTCTGGCCTCTGTGGGCACCAGGCATGCACATGGTACACAGATATACATGTAAACAAAACACTCATACGCATAAATAAAATTAATTAAAAAGAGAAATATCCCATTAGACCCAAAGACATAGGCATAACAACCAAGATTCCTGAATCCAAGCACAAGTTCCTAAGGCCAGAAGTGCATTGGCTAAGTAGAAAAATTTTTTTTTAAAAATTGCAATGCTATTTTTAATGTTTTGTTGGAATCTGCTTTGATCCCATTACAGCTTCTTAAGTGAAATGCGTTAAGCCTGAGTGCTGCTATTCTGCTCAAATTATATCTTAAATCCCTGAGTATGTGAATTCTGAAAATATGTTGGGAAGGTGAACCTGGGACAAGGGAATCCTGAAGACCCATTTTCCATGTCTGCAACCTTGAATGGGAATCACGATAAGACCTCTCAGTGAGAATGGAGAGTTTGAGCGTCAGAGTACATGGAAGGTAAGGAACACTTCATATGGGGTGAGAAGAAGAGTTTTAAAACTTGCAATAAAAGAGGGCTTTCCTAAATCCTTAGGAAACCAGACAGGCTGTCTGTAGATCTCTTGTGTTAATCAATGCACTTAAGTAGCCATGGGGTTTTAAGGGCCCTGCATTTCTGTCACATTTTCCTCTTTCCATACTCCCTATTTTCTGTGTAACTGACAGGTCAGTTTTCCTTACCCACCCCCATGAGGAAATAACTAAGGGTTTTCTTTTTTTTTTTTTAAATCCAAATAATGCATCATAAATTTTTAATTTATTTCTTCTTTTTTTATTAAGAGATTTTCTATTCGTTTTACATATCAACCACAGATTAACTAAGGGTTTTCAAACAGCATGTCTCATTTATATCTAGTCATAAGGATATGTGTGTTGTGTTGTGTTTATGTGTTTTGTAGAAAAATAAGTACCTTAAAACCCTTTATTGCCTTTTAAATCTTCCTTTAGGCGTATCTCTATGCGTGCAAATGATTATGACTAGTCTTTCATACATTGCAGCTAATAATTTATAACGAATTACATAGATATAGAAAACATTAAGGTATTTCACATTGAACAAAAACTGAGATATACTTAGTTCAGCGTTTCAGGAAGCACTTTAACAACTGCTGTGCACACTCTCCTGTGACTCCGAGTATAAAGTAGACTTTGTTCAGTTAGTAGGCGGCTGGTAGCTGTCCACCCTCTGCAGAAGCGTATCTGAGTATCCAGGGGAATAGTACCTGGAAAAGGAAGCCTGCTATCAGATATATGGACATGTCTCACACAGTAGGCACGAAAGAGTCTATGTACAGAACTTACTGAGACAACTTATGGGGCTGGTGAGACAGCCCAACCAGTGTGAACACTTGCTGAGTTCACCCCTGGAGCCCACACAGTACAAGTGAGAACCAGACCTTCAGGTCTGACCTTCACATGCATGCTGTGGTACATGTGCACATACATATATGTATGTGTGCACATGTGTGTGCACACATGAACATATGTAAAATGTCTTAATACAGATAATCATGGGTGAAACTTCACATATGTACAGGTAATGCTTATGCATAGGGTTAGAGCATGTGAATAAGGAAGACCAGACTCACAGTGTTGTACTAGACACTTCAAGAATGTAAGTGTGATGACAGAGGAGACATGTTCCAAGTACATGCCTTCAGTCCAGTGGAATATTTCAGAGACTTCCTTTTTATCACATCAAGTGAGTGATGGTACTTAAGGAACATAGCTGATAAATGTCTTTTGTATGTACACCACATAACCTATTATTGCTAATCAATTTCTGAATTCCAGTTGCCTTAGAAATCATGTCTTAAAATATAGCTTGGTCAGAACCAGTTATAATTCATGTTGAAAACAGTTGAAAAATGGTTTGTAAGTACTCATTGTATATAAAATAGAAAATTAACCATCTTCATTGGTTCTTTGGCATATATAGTACCATATAAAATCTAGTAGTTACTCTAATGTAGAAATGGATTTAAAAACCTAGGAAATTATTTAAAAATTTCCAAAACATTTACTAAAAGTGATTAAGCCTCATAAAATGTTTTCTACAAATAAAAATTAGTGTTGGGGCCTTGTCCCTTGTTAGTTGTCTTTATGTCTACTTAGAAAGTCATAATTTCAGAGCTGGAGAGACGGCTCAATGGTTTAAAACACTTGTTGCTTTTCCAGACTACCTGGGTTCAATTCCCAGTTATAGCACCTGTTCCAGGCTTCTGAGTGTACCAGGCACACAAATGGTACACAGTCACACATACAGGCAAAATACCAATACACATAAAATAAAAATAAAAACATCCTTTTAAAAGTCATAATTTCTTCCACAATGTACAAGTTAAGGTGGGCAAAATAGAGATATATTTTCTTTAGTAGTGTCTTTGTTTATAATTAAACAGAACACACACTACCTAAGACATTATTTAAGGAATGTTCTTCCCCCATGCACTCTTGTACACAGACACAAACATATACACATAATTAAAAACTAAAAAGAAGACAAAATTTTAGTTGAGTGTGGTAGCACACACCTTTACTCCTAGCTCTCAGGAGGTAGATACAGGTGGGTCTCTGAGTTTGAGACCAGCCTCGTCTACATAGCAAGTTCCAGATCAGCCAAGGCTACTTAGTAAGACCCTGACCCTGTCTCAAACAAAAGTTTTCATTAGAAGGTCAAAAAGGCCACCTAATCTAGAAAAATCCATTTCAAAAACGGGTTTTTTAGTTAAAGCTGGTCTTGCTTTCACTGGTGCCTCATAAATATGTCAGGCACAAGACAGGTAGTTTTTATAAAAATGTGAGGAGGCAGGATTTTAAAAATCTTTTCAGATGTGCTACTTAAAGTGGTATCCATGAGTCACATAGGGCTAAAGAACTAGAAATATAGCTACTATATTTCTATTTCTTAAGCTACTATAGCTTAAGAAACTAAACTTCTACATTTTAACTTCCAAACTGACAGATCAACACAGAAAACCACAAAGACATGTTTGGAATCATTGGGGAGTCTTCCTTTTCCAATGTAAGTTTTATGTGGTCTAAATTTAACCCAAATATTTCCAATGAGATTTACCACTTGAATTAAGATATGTTAAAAGTAACAAAATATACAAATGTAAAATAACTCACAAATTTTATATTGATTACAAGTTGAAATTATATGGTTTGGATATTCGGATTGTTAAAAAAATCATTAAAATCTGTTTACCGCCGGGCGGTGGTGGCGCACGCCTTTAATCCCAGCACTCGGGAGGCAGAGCCAGGCGGATCTCTGTGAGTTCGAGGCCAGCCTGGGCTACCAAGTGAGTCCCAGGAAAGGCGCAAAGCTGCACAGAGAAACCCTGTCTCGAAAAACCAAAAAAAAAAAAATCTGTTTACCATTTCATTTTACTTTCTTAAATGTGACTACCAGAAAACTAGAAATTATACATGTGGCTCATGTTATATTTTTACTGGACATTGTTATTTTTTTGTTGTTGTTGTTTTGTTTTTTTTGTTTTTCGAGACAGGGTTTCTCTGTGTAGCTTTGCGCCTTTCCTGGAACTCGCTTTGGAGACCAGGCTGGCCTCGAACTCACAGAGATCCGCCTGCCTCTGCCTCCCGAGTGCTGGGATTAAAGGCGTGCGCCACCACCGCCCGGCTTGGACATTGTTATTTTAAGCGTCCCATTCTATCAGTTAGGATGTGCCGATAATTCTCGAGGCTTTCCTAGATTCATTTCCAAGCTTGGAATTCATTGCCATTGCCATATTCCGGACATTGTTATTTTAAGCGTCCCATTCTATCAGTTAGGATGTGCCGATAATTCTCGAGGCTTTCCTAGATTCATTTCCAAGCTTGGAATTCATTGCCATTGCCATATTCCCTTCCCAAAGACCCCAGAGACTTCACAGTTTCTAGGACTCCCCGCCGAGAAACCACGCTCAAATATACCCTTACATCTTCATCAGCAGAGCAGGTACTCACCATTGCCCAGCTTCTCATAACTGCATTCTAACCTCGCCTGGATCTCAAAATATAGACCCATAAATAAACATACCAAGTTACTTCTTTCCTGTGAGAAAGCCTCGTTCCAACTACTATGGTGCTAAGAATTCAAAAGTAATTTCCTTTAGGGAAAACCATGTAATTCCAGCTCAGCAATGAAAGGCATTTGAAATGTACCAGAATAATTTTAGTTTATATTTGTTTGCTATGCATTTATCATCAAAACAAATAGCAAAAAAAAAATCAGGAACCTAATATTACTATACAGTATTATGATTATAAAATTAAATTTTATTTACCTAATAATGCTATTTAACCTCAAGAGAAAAAAATGAGAATAAACATACTCCAAAAGGGACAATAAGAAATACTGACTGAATTGAATTCTTACTAATACAAGCCCCTTGACTATTATGTCATTTAATCCTAATGTTATGAGATAGGTAATAATATTTACAAATACTATCTTAAAGAATTTAAATAATTGCCTGTAAGGTCACACAGGAAATTATTAGAACTGAGATAGTGACCTAGGTCTGTCTGTCCAGACACATGACCTACGCTTTCATCAAAGAGCCATAAAGAAAAGTGAGAAATTCCTTCCTTCCCTCAAGCTATCAATCATTGCTACTCTAACCTAGCTCAAATGGCCTCTAATCAGAGGGTTAGCAAATTAACCTTACCTCAGACTATGAGGAATTTGGGTTATTCTTGCCTTGGCCTTTGGGCTTGGATCTAGTGGGCTACACTGTTAAGTGAGTAGAACTGTGCTGTGTAGCAGGCTGTATACACGCACCGTCCCCACACAGATGTGTCTGTCCCAAAGGCTCCTTTCCTCCTGGCAGTGGGCAGAGATCCAGAAGGCAAGTTCAGAGCACTCCTTGTGGTTGGGGAGTGGGCCAGACCTACAGCATAGGTCCGTCGAAAGCCTAGTCCAGATCCCTTCCCTCTCATAACACCCACCTGTGCAGAAATGATGGAATACAATGAAAATTGGAAGGAAATATGAGATGACTATCGAGCTGATACTGTCTTATAAAAAATAATTAGTCCTGCCGGGCGGTGGTGGCGCACGCCTTTAATCCCAGCACTCGGGAGGCAGAGCCAGGCAGATCTCTGTGAGTTCGAGGCCAGCCTGGGCTACCGAGTGAGTTCCAGGACAGGCGCAAAGCTACACAGAGAAACCCTGTCTTGAAAAACCAAAAAAATAAATAAATAAATAAATAATTAGTCCTAAAACAGTTGTCACCAGCTTATTTTTGAGAAATAGATAATTAAAAATAAAACCATTTTGAAATTGTATTTATCTATTTTCACAGTGTTTTAAGGATTTCCATAAAATGTTATTTTCTAACACTAATGCTTTTTTAAAAATCAGAAAATTGAAAAGTTTGGCTAGCCAAAATCCTCATGAAAATTAGTTTTTAAAATGAAATCTCAGCTGGGCATGATAGTGAATGCCTTTAATCCCAGCACTGAGGCAGAGGCAGGTGGACCTCTGAGTTTAAGGCCAGCCTGGTCTACAGAGCTAGTTCCAGGAAAGCCAGGACTACACAGAGAAATCCTGTCTCAAAAAACTAAAATAATAATAGTAATAATAACAATAATAAAAATGAAATCTCAAAGCATAGAATTTAAGGATTTCAATTTTTATAATAGTATTTTGACAAAGTACCAGATTAAATTCTAATATTATAGTTTTTTTTTTTTTAATTTCCACTGGTTCTTAAACCTAGAAAAGGAAAAAAAGAAATGAATTTATTCAAAAAAGCACCTTATCATTGGTTGATCAATAGATTGTTTCCATTCTGGGGACCTTTAGTTTGCCTTTGTTTTCTCCATTTTTACTTTATTTTGTTTCTTAAAACACTGAATTGAAAGTTATCTTAAGCTTACATAAAATATTCTTATATTAAAATACACAATATTCTTCCATGTACAAAAACAAATTTTATTAATAAAATATTTTCAGAATTCCTTCATTTTATGGTTTTACGAGTATTTTGTTATATAGCTTTTTATTATTTATTTGTGTATTTTATATATGCTCTGGCATACTACTCCTTTGATATCATATACTAGTGTATTAATATTTTCAAAGCTGGCTTATTGGAATTGTTTCAAGTTGTCTTCAGCCTCTCAAGAGTGCATAACTTGGACTGGAGAGCCGGCTCAGTGGTTAAGAGTACATACTGCTCTTGCAGAGGACCCAAGTGGGGACCTGAGTTTTGTTCCCAGCACCATCTCAGGTGCTCCACAGGATCCATCTAGGGACACCTGCCCTGATGTACACACACACAGGAATGTGACTGTAAAGTTTTGTTTTTTTGGGTGTTTTTTTTTTTTTTTCTGAGACAGGGTTTCTCTGTGTAGCTTTGCGCCTTTCCTGGAACTCACTTGGTAGCCCAGGCTGGCCTCGAACTCACAGAGATCCACCTGGCTCTGCCTCCCGAGTGCTGGGATTAAAGGTGTGTGCCACCACCATCCAACAAGTTTTTTAAAAGAGTTCAAGCTAGACATGGTAGCACATGCTTGTAATTCTTGCACTTGGGAGGCAGAGGAAGGCAAAATCTGTGAGAGTTCTAGGCCAGCCAGGGCTACACAGTAAGACTCTGTCTCAAACAAACAAAACCAAAAACAAGAAAAAAAAAAAAAGAAAGAAAAAAGAAAAGAAAAGGAGAGCACATACAGTTGTGAGTAAAAGAACAATTTAATCTTAAAATTATCTTGTGCTTTTAAACTCAATGTTACTATGTTTTTAAAACTATTAGTATAGCTGGGCCTGGTGGTGCACACCTTTAATCTCAATGCTCAGGAGGCAGAGGCAGGCGGATCTTGAGTTTGAGGCCAGCCTGATCTACAAAGCAAGTTTCCAAGACAGCCAGGGCTACACAGAGAAACCCTGTCTCGAAAAAACAAAACATTAAGTTTTAAGTAGGAAGATAGGTGAAAGGTATAAATTATATGTTTCAGCCTGTGAGTTGTTATGAGGGGAGTTTGTATTTTCTTTTATTTGTGGAGAAAATACAATTATATCTGTACCCTGTACTCCATATTGTTTTTTAAGACTCAAGTCTTTATATTATTCTGTTCTTTTCTTGGCAAATTTTCTTTTATTCTTTTATTTAGGGCTTAACCATATAGTTTTCCTCTAGGTTTATAAGACCTGAGACTTGGGCTTAATGCTCTAAAAATGGACTTCATTTTGAGAAATCTTAATCTGGGTTGGAGGTGTAGTGTAGCTCAGTGAGTGGCGCAGGTTCCAGTTGAGCCTGGCCTGGTGTGCTCCTGTACCATCGGCACTTGGGAGGCAAAGCGGGAAAGAAGGAATTCAGGGCAAAGTCCAATCTATACATCAAGATCATCTCAAACTACAAATAAACAGTTGCGTCCTCCTCCTCCTAATCCTCTTCTTGTGTGTGTGTGGGGGGGGGTGGCATGTATGCACATGTGTGTGGATATGAGTGCATCACTTACCACCTTGTTCTGGGGACAGCATCTCTCAGTGAACCTAAATGTCACTGACATCAACTTAGCTGGCTAGCCTGCGAGCTTCCAGGTTCCGCCTGTGTCTGCCCCCGGTCCCAGGACATGTGCAGCCCAGGTCCCGCCTGTGTCTGCCCCCGGTCCCAGGACGCGTGCAGCCCAGGTTCCACACAGGTGTAGGAATCCTAACTCAGGCCTTTGCTTGCACGGCAAGCACCCCTATTATCGAGCCATCTCTCCAGCCCCCCAAATCTACATTTGGGCATAGATATACAAGCTAAATTTGAATTTTTTTAAAAAAGGTGTTTTGTAATATGGAGCAGTTTAATGTCCATTTCTCCCACCTTACTATTTCCTCTGGGTAACAGCTGTTAATGTTGTTGATGTATTCTTGGAGGAGAGAACCGGGTTCTGCTTTTATCTCTTGGATCTTTTTAAGTCCGCCACTCGTAACGAAAAGACGTCGAGCTTTGCTGTCATGAGGCAGCACCTTAAAAAGAGAAACAGATAAAAACTTCATCTTCGCTTTTCCAAGTGAGATTGTTTCTCTTTAAAAGCAGTATTGTATCAGCAATAATGTAGAAGAGAATTTGTGTTCAATACATCACCTATAAAATAAAGAACTGATGACTGGAAGTGAAATGCATTCTCCTCAAATTACATTAACCCTTATGTTACAGAGGTAGAAGGGAGCAATTCAGTGAGCAGAGCTGATGGGTCCACTCCTACCTGAAGCGTGAGTCTGAGGTCTCCCCACTAGCTTGACAAGTGAAGGCGGGCTCCTTAATACAGCAGGAAGGGCCTCTCCCGTCATCTAAATACTCTCGAGTCCCCATCCTAAGCTTGTCCCCAGAACATCAGAGCAGGCATGCCATGTCATCAGTTGCATTTCCCACTGAGGAAATGTCCCCTGGTGTAGTGGGTAGCCATTCTAGCTTTGACCTAGAAGTTCCAAGCCCCATTGAGGCTTCAGTAACTGTCTGCCTACAAGGTAGGGCCAAGGGAGGACCCTGAAGACCCGAGATCCAGATGGGCCAGCTCTCTCTGTTCCGGGACCCTGGATGGTGGAGGTTGACCGAGCAGAGCTCCAGAGAACACCGCTGGACTGCGATACACCTTCCCCAGACCCTGCGACCTACCTATCCCTTCATTTGTAAGTTACGCCACTAATAAACTTTCCTTTTAACTACGTGGAGTGGCCTTAATAATTTCACCAATACCCTGGCCTGGTTAACTCTTTCTTGTTGTTCAATACTCAGCTCCCATAGTACCTCCTTTAAGAAAATACAGGTTGGGTATGGTGGCATACACCTATATCTTAGCAGGCAAAGGCCAGAGGGTCATGAGCTAGGCAGATTATGAACTGGAGGTTAACCTAGGCTATACAATGATACCCTGTCTTTAAAATAAGAACATTTGGCACACATGTACAAGATCCCAGCACTGGAGATAAAGATGGGAGATGAAATGGAGGGCAGGGGTTGGGAGGAGGTGGAGGAAATGACCTTGTTTATAATAGCATTAAAACTGACTATTCAACCGAGTTTGTCTCCTTCCATGAACTAAAGAGAATTTAGTTGGCTTTAAACACGTGAATGTTTGTTTGCTTACTTATTATTGTGGGTGGGCCACAACGTGCGTGTGGCCATCAGAGAAAAACTCCATAAAGTCGGTTCTCTCTTCCCACCTTTCCACAGGCTGTAGGGATTGAACTCAGGGCAAGCCTGGCTGGCAAATGCCTGTGCTTGCTGAGACAGCTCACCAGCCCCAATGTGCGGTGTTGTTTTAACGTTTGTTGATTTGTGTGGTGGGGGTGCACATGCCAGAGCACATGCGTGGAAGTCAGAAGATGACTTGGAGAGTTGTTGGCTCGGCATGCACTCATTGTCAGGTGTGACGGAAGTACCTACACCTGCTGAGCCATGTCGCTGGGCCCAAATGTCTTGTTTTTTAAAAACAAAATTTTGCTTGTTTTTGTTTTCATTTTTGGTATTTTTATGTACCATAGCTTGAATTAAACTCTTACCATATGCCATCTCATTTAACCTCTACAACAATATATGGAGTAAGTACTTTTATTCCTGTCTTCTGTAGAGTAAAACTAAGGGTTAGAGAGGTCAAAACTTTCTGAAGAGTTAGAGCTATAACTTGGAATATGGTTCAGTGGTAGAGCAGTTACCATGTGTGTGGCCTCAAGTGCCATCCTCAGCACCAAAATCAAAACAAAACATGTAGGGAAACAGAACCGAGCCTACACCCATAAACACTCTGGCACATGACTTATGCAGACCCCATTTTCTCTTTTGCTTTTTGTTTGTTTGTTGCTTATTTTTTTTGAGATAGGTCTCACTTTAAAGCTCTGGCTGGCCTGGAAATCTCTGTGTGGATCAGACTGACCTCTAATTCCCAGACAACCACCTGCCTCTGCTTCAACCTACATGGTAATAATTTCTTTTTTAAAATGTGTATGGTGTTTGGTCTGTATTTAGTTCTGTGTACCATGTGCATGCCTAGTGACCATGGAGACCAGAAGAAGCCATGGATCTCCTGGGAATGGAGTTAGAGAATGCTCTGTGGGTACTGGGGATCAAAGCCAAGTCCCCTGGAGGAACAGCCAGTATTCTTAACAGCTGAGCCATCCCTAGCCCCTGTAGACTGTGTATTTTAACTCAGATGTGCAAAGCACAGTTCCCCAGTCCCCAGCAGCTGAGGGGCACCACCCTGACGTCAGTGACGACAGCAGTCATTCACCTTTAGCCCTTGCTGTCTTGCTGCGAGCCGCAGGAAAACGTCATGGAATTCAGCTACTATCACAAAAGCTACTACTTGGAAAAGTCAAGGACTTCTCCAAAGGTCAAGCCATGGCTTAAGAAGTTTTGGTGATATTTTAGCTTTCATATATATATATATATATATATATATATATATATATATATATATATATTAGCTGGTTCCTAAAATGATTTTCTTTCGTGCTTCCAAAGAACTCCTAACAGTGTATTTATTTAAAATGCCTATCAGACATCCAAGGCTGAACGAAACTACACCTATCTCCTACGTCAGGCGTATAGCTTTATTTCTTGTGCAATTTAGGGTGAGACCCTCCTTTCTTATATAACCTTACTAATAGACCCCTAACTTCTTACCTAACCACTTCTAGGAATGTAGACTGACACATAGATCCCCTTTTTGATATACTAACCGGGCATTAGCACTCAGTTGACCTCCTCCTTTACCACACCCATTTGGGGTTGTAAAAGAAAGCCTGACAGTCACTGCCTGAGGAAAATTCTTACCTGCCTTTACAACCCTGTAGAATTCAAGCCTGGTGACCTTGCTCAACCAGGGGATTGCTATTGCTTGGGTTTATACTGGATTCCTGGGAGACTTAGGAGGAATGTGGAGAACTGAGAGACCAAGAACGGAGAGGGATAAGGAGGATTTTGACCAGAGAGAACGTGTGGATGAGATGGAAGATGAGGAAGAGTCAGATGGGGAAGTACAAGCTGGGTAAGAACGAGATAAAAAGGACCTAGGTGAGGCAGAATTAAGACGAGAAAATTAAGATAGAACTTAGAGGGGACAGCAGATTAATTTAGGGAGAAATCAGGCAAGAAAGGAGCTATGAACGAGAACAGAATAGGAGCTGTGTAGAGAGAGAGCTGACTCAGAAGAATAAAGTGTATGGACTAAGGAGTTTCGTGTACATAGATTCACTTCTTTCCATCAAAGCTGAATTATCAGCTGGCTGTAGATTCTTCCCGGACCCTGGAGGGGACTGCCGAGGGGCTGGACCCCCCAGTCCCCGTTACCGTCTGAACCTGTGTTATTGGCTGTACATTTCGGCAGATCGACCTCTACACTACTGTCAATCTGCGATGATCGATGAAATACGACAGTTACGTTTGTTTAAATTGTTCCTAAGAAGTCACTGTGTACCAAAGGACTGAGATCACCTCCAGCAAGTTTAGAGTTTCTGAAAAAATATTTTAGTGGCTTAAAGACATTTTTCTAAAAACGTTTGCTATGTTCTTAGACTAAAGGACATGGGAAATTACTAAAAGATAAGTTTCAGCATAAATTATCTATATTATAAGTTTTTTATGTGTTGGCATATTACTTCCTTTTATACTGTTTAAGAAGATAGTACAGAGCTATGAAAACTATATGAAGAAGAATGAAGTGTTTCATTTATCTGAGAGTTTTACTAACCTATGCTACCTGTATCATTTGAGATTGGTTAAGACTTAAATAGTAAAACCCAGACCAAATTTTACAGAAGAAATCAGAAAAACAAGTCCACAAATCATTTTCCCTTTCTTCCCTTTCCCAGACTATGGTAGCGTTTCTTACCTTACTGAACTGCCCAGCCACATACTTCAGGATATTGGGAGGCGCATCGTAGAGAAAGGGTTCAAGGGCTGGGAGGTAGGTGCATCTCTGTATGATGTTCTTTATGGCCTTTTTACTCTATTGAGACACAAAGCAGATGCATACAAAGATTGGCAATTCATGTTTCATGTTCCCAGATTTTGAAAATGAAATTAGTTTCTTGCAGTTGTTTCATTTTTAAACAGTTTTCTGAAGAATTCAGCAGCTGAGCTATCTCTGCAGCCCCTGTCGACCCTGTGTTTTAAGTCAGAAATGCAGGGTACAGTTTCACAAGTCCTCAACAGCTGAAGAACTATTTTGACTGGCTTTATTGTCAGTTTTATCAGTTGGATTCTGTTAAACTCAAAACTGTGCAGTGAGTTGCTGAGCTCTTAAATACATATCAGGTCATTAAAATTATAAAGTGTACTTGTGCACTGTAAATGAACATGTTTAAGTATAAATATATGGATAAATATACATGTGTAACTATGAAACAGATAACTAAAGCATCCTATTTGTTTTAATCAACAACTATGAGATAATAGTTATGATAGAGTATTCTATATTGCCTATATGGCATAGGTATCCTATAGTGTCTAAAGGATTTCATGCTCATATAGATGCATTGATAAACTGCTAGCGTATGACTTATTCAGTGTGCATTTGTAGATACTGCTATAGCTCATGGGTAGAAATTGACCCATTCTCAAGTGGAATCAAAACAGAATCTAAACTGTTGGATCAACTGTCAACTGAGAATCACTCTCCGAAACATAGGCACCACATGTACCTTTCCCACCTCTGCTTCCCGCCAGCACTCTTCCATCTTTTAAATTAATGCCACATTGCTGCCCCTCCTGTAAATGTGGCTGAGGGGCCCTAATGTGACCACGGAACACTGCTACAGCTATAGCTGGGTGTGACTCTGTTCCTTCATATGACACAGCGCCCCCTTCATATTGGAGAGCATTACAACTGTTGTGTTTGTCCACAGCTGTTTCCCCTAGAATTCCACGTCTTGTATGTGGTGTGCATCTGAGCTGCCTTAGGGACTTTGCTCTTTTCTTCCCCTGAAGCCACAGCCAATACGGTCTTCTGGTTTTGTTACTGTATGCCTGGCAATGCTCTTGAAATGAAGGACCATTTTGATTTTTACATCATGGAGTTTATAAATGGTCATTGTATTCAGCAAAACTTTTATCATATTTGTGCGATCAGCAAATTATCTCTTGAATTTTAGGTTTTCTTTAGAGACCCAGACTATGAAGTCTTACACATCCTCATCTCCTGACACATTTGACCAAAACCATTGCTGCATAGGTTAAATAAGGAATGCAGAACTGTAACCCACAAGTAGTGTAGGTTGAAAATAAACCCCCAGCTTTCAACACACCTGATTATACTGTAACTTTATAAACCATCTTAAGACCACGATGACCTTAGCAGACCAAGAAATTTAATTTAACTGCCATTGCTAACAAGGCCAAATAGCTGTAATAGCACTGACTGTCTAGTGTGAAAGAAACATTCGTTAGTTAAGAGTTTGCTTACCTGCCTACCTCTGAGCTGTAATAATTGACAGACAAATGACTCCGTTTAGAAATGAACAGGGCTGGAGATATAGCTCAGGGACAAAAGGCTTGCCTAACATGTGCAGGGCCCTGAGACCGATGCCCACCACTACAAAAAATTGTTTAAATAATAAAAGGGATAAAAGGTCAAAGAATACACATACACAGTCAAGACATATATGAAAATATTTTCAACGCTACTGGCCGTTAGGCAAATCAAAAGTACACATTAGGATAGCTGCAGTAAAAAATAGAATGAATGAATAAAATTCATTCACAAGAATGCAAAAATTGGAACCTCCTATACTGCTGGTGGATGTAAAGCAGCACAGTTGTGTTAGAAAACAGTCCAGTAGTTCCTCAAAATCTTGAATTTCCAGTGACCCAGCAATTTTACTTATGGAAATATACCCAAAAGAAATGCAGGCATACATCCAGCTTGGAGACATGCCTCAGCACGTAAAGGTGCCGGCTGCTCAAACCTGGCCCAGCAGCATGAATTTGACCCCTGGATGGAAGGAGAGAATCAACTCCAAAGAGTTTAAATACCCCAGTGTCCATCAACTGGTGAATTGATAAACAATGGGAAATTATCTAGCATAAAGAGGAACAAGGGACTGATACATATTACATGGAAGAATCTCAAAACTCAGGTTAGGGGCTGGAGAGACGACTCACTGGTTAAAAGTACTGCTCTTCCAGAGGACCCAGGTTTGAGTGCCAACACCCACATGGTGGCTCACAGTGACTGGTAATTCCAGGGTTAGGGAAGCTGATGCCCTCTTCTGGCCTCCACAGGCACAAGGTACACATGGTACACAGATACACAAGCAGGCAAAATAGCTGTGTACATTAAAAACAAACTAACGAAACACCCTCAGACTAGGTAATAAAGACCAGGCACAAGGACACATCTGTTACATGATCCCTTTTAAATGAAATGCCCAGAAGAGGCAAAGCCACAGAGATGGGAAGAAAATTGACAGTTGTCGGATTTAGACAGAGATGTGGAGTGATGTCTGACAGAGGAGAAAAAAAACTTTAAAATCAGTTTGTGATGATTTCACAATTCTGTAAATACACTAAAAACTATTGAATCTTATACTTTAGATGAGTGAATTGTATACATTATATCTCAATAAAGCTACTTAAAAATGCAATGAGAGCCGGGCGGTGGTGGCGCACACCTTTAATCCCAGCACTCGGGAGGCAGAGCCAGGCGGATCTCTGTGAGTTAGAGGCCAGCCTGGTCTCCAAAGCGAGTTCCAGGAAAGGCGCAAAGCTACACAGAGAAACCCTGTCTCGAAAAAGAAAAAAAAAAATGCAATGAGAACTATGACCACGGAACTTGAAAGCTATGTGAAATAAATAACCTAGAAAGTTTCATAACGGTTCAAATGCCACCATGAGCTAAAGCATTTCAGCATGATGCCTCTAAAGAAAATATAACAGATGATCTTATCAGCTAACAGAATTTCCATTCTTTATTAAGATATTAGAATAACGTAGGGGCAGGCAAACAGTGACCACACAGGAGAAACTCCAAGAGGCTGCTCACTGGTTCTCCCAGATTTGAACCAATTAGCCAGTGCTTACAGAAGCGGACATGCCTTTGAGACAGAAAGAACCTTGAGGTAGCTTTATTCTTTGAAAGCTGCCACAGAGTAACAAATAAGAAAGGCCACTAGACAGTTTCTAATGCTTTTGGATACACATTTTCTCACAGAGCTAGTGTTAAATCGAACAGACTTGATGGACTTCGCTCTAGAAGCAGCAGCTATATCTCTAAAGCAGCAGCTATATGCTCCAAGAGATCCTACAGAAGAACAAAAGAGATGACATCCCACAGTAAGAAACTATTCAGATGAACTTCAAGTTTGGGGAAGGTTTTGTTGCCAGGGAAATTACTAAATGTTTGCTTTTCACATATAATGCCCAGTATATTTCCTGAAAGTAAATACTGTATCAAAAGAAACCATTTCTATTAGTTAACTTAACAAAACCATCTTTGATGAATTAAATCAGAATAAAGATTATCTTATTTTAAAAAGTAATGGTTTTACTCCATGGATATTTATACAATATAATGTCACAGTAGTTCATTTAAAAAAATTTAAGGGCAGGGGAGATAGCTTAGTGATTGAGTGCTTACATGCCTGACATGTCCAAGCTCTGGAGTTAATGTCTAGTACCACCTAGAAGTATATAAAAAGTATCCAAGGCTTCCAAGGACTACATTGCCAGGGTTTCTCAAGCTATAATTACTGTTGATTACATTAATCAGCCATAGCTGGACAGATCAAAACTGCAAATGGAGCTGGGATTTCTGACTAGAAAGTCAAAGAATCAGACACCCCTTTAACTGGAAAAGACCTGGGAGGGCCCACTATCCATCTCTTTCTGTCAGTCAGTTAGTGCTAACTTGTTACATTACCTCCATGCCATGGTCTTATGAGGGGAGCCCTAAATCTATGTAAGATGTTGCTTTTTTTTTTTTTTTTTTTGGTTTGGGTTTGGGGTGTGCCCCCAAAAGCTCATAGGGAGTGTCACTATTAGGAGGTATGGCTTTGTTGGAGTTGGTGTGGTCTTATTGGATGAAATGTGTCACTGTTGGGGTGGGCTTTGGGGTGTCCCTTGCTCAAGTCATGCCCAGTATCTCGGTTCACTTCCTGTTGCCTGAAGGTCAAGATGTAGAACTCTTAACTCCCTCTCCAGCAGCATGTCTGCCTGTATGACACCATGTCCTGCAAGCCACTCCATTAAATGTTTTCCTTCCTAAGAGTTGCCATGGTCATGGTGTCTCTTCACAGCAATAGAAACCCTAACTAAGACAGGGTTTGGTTTGGTTTGGTTTTTGTTTTCTGTTTGTTTGTTTGTTTGCTTGTTTTGTTTTTCAAGGCAGTTTCTCTATGTAGCCCTGGCTGTCCTGGAACTTACTATGTAGACCTGGCTGGCCTTGAACTCACAGAGATCCAACTACCTATGCCTCTTGAGTCCTGGGATAAAAGGCATGAGACACTAAGCCCAGCTGTAAGCCATTGTTTTGATCTGGAAAATCTTACAACTACTAAGAAAAGTCTTACTCTTGGAAATCAATTTGTAGAAACTTATCATGTAAACATAACCAGATAAAGAAACTCACTTTCATGAAACTTGGGAACTTCCTGCCTTATCATCCAAGGTTACATTCAGTAAATATGTTTACTATTCACTAATTTAACCATCTAATTAAATGTTTATGTCCTTTACTATTAATTTTATTTTGGGTTTTAATTACATTTATTTATTTATTTTGTGTGTGCTTACAGCAAGTACGTGGGGCTCAGTGGGTGACGCGGCCTGCGTCAGATTCTCTTCTTCTCCCATGTGCATCCTGGGGATTAAACTCAGGTCATGAGGGTTGGCAGTGACCACCTGGACCACCTGGACTCACTAAGTCATCGGCTGGCCATGTTCAGTTTATTTGGAATTACTGTCTTTGTGGTAAACATCCATCAGTTCAAAGACCTCCATATTTTCCTAATATGTATGCTATAAAATATTTCTTTTTTTAATTGTAGAATTATTAAATAGTCCATCCTACTTTCTGTGCATGTTTCATGAATTACCTTGACAGCCAGTAATAATTTTCTTATAAAACTTGCCTTTTAAAAATGCACAATTCAAAAATGTTAGTGAATCTTATACACACTTAAAAGAAATAAGACAAAGAATTAAAAGATCAGACATCCTTGAAGTTAGGAGAAGTAAATGATAGCTTCAGGAATATTCTCTTACTAGTTATATCTTTGAAAAGCAACTTAAATTCTTTGGGACTCTGTTTTTTAAAGTAAAAAGGGACAGCGTACTCTCTAGCAACTCCAAATTCAAAAATTCTATTATTCTCCCATTTCTATTTCATAGAAAATGTCAACAGCAATATAGAATGCAAAAACCTGACATTCACTTTACAACCAAGTTTTCATCTGTGCAAAATTTCCTTGAAGATGTATCACTAACTGTAGGAACAAGGGTAACCAGTTTTCAAAGATAAACTACCCAATCTTCTGACAGATTTGTATTTCCTGACTCAGAAAAGCAGCACAGTCCATCAGAAAAATCAAAATATTTAAACCACATATTTTAAAGGCTAAGTCAGTGTCCGCCCAGTCTCCCCGAGCCGGTTCAAAGCAGGACTCACTTTCACCTGCAGGTCCTCGGAGCTCTCTGGGGACAAGTACAGAGCCAGCAGTACTGGCAACACCTCTGTGATAGCCACGGCCCGTGCGTGCTCTGGAGTGTGTCTCCCAACCTGTCCGAGAGCCCAGGCAGCCGCGGCTTTAATATGATCTTCCGGTTCCTCTGACAGGCAGGCCGACAGCTGGGGCACACCCTGGAGTGGGAATCAAAAGAGCAAGGCTTCTAAATCTGGAGCGGGATTAAAGAGTCCACCGTGTCTTTCGGGCGTTAGAAGAAATCATTTCAGCCTTGATCTCTTCTTTTCCTAAATGGTTCAATAAATGTGCACATCACAAGGGCGGTCATTTCTTAAGTCAATAAAATGACTAGGACTAAATTGCCTTAATTACCTGTAACAATCCAACTTAAATAAGAATGTCTCTACTAGCTTTACCCCCCAAATAGAAGGACATTTAAGCAAACAACAGAGATGCCTCAGACCAGGCAGAAACAGATTCCATGGTGACAAACTGAAATGTTTAGGATCTCCAAATTTATTTTCTTTGTTTAAGAAGTAAAGACTGAGGACAGCCCTCAGTTCAGTCCTCAGCGACATACACACCCCAAGTACAGTAATCCGAAAAAAAAATAACTACAACAAACTAAAAATCAAATGAATACGAGCAAGAATCCACCCTAAGAGCCTTTAACATGGAATATACTCCACTAACATCTTCCCTGAAATACCACATGCTTTCCCAGTACTTTTGGTCGACTTTATACTGACAGTTCTGCTACGGCCACAAGCTGCTAAATCCAGCCAGGTTGCTTTTGTTATACAGGTGGGGCATATGGACATTTTGCATTTTAGACTCTAATTTTATTTAAATAAGAAAAAAACATCATCAAAGGGCCTCAAAAATCAGTTTATAGACCTAAGGAAGAATCAAATAAACATATCAATTTTTAATTCCAGCTTTTGTATAGGCATAATTTTGTAACTAGTTTGAGACAATAGTAATTATTTCAAATTTAGTACTGTAAGAACCAGTATCACATGTTGATGCTGCTGTGGCAAAAGTCAAGACCATCACATGTGCCTTCCCCCTGGCCTTTTAGTCTGCTTTTTCTTTTCTTCTTTCTTTCACCCACACCTGGAATCAGTTTCGTGAAACTTACCATGTTTCCATATCTGTCCTTTTCCAAGCACTGAAATGGTCTGTCCACAATAGAAAAGATCAGACCTGCTGAGGACGGAGTAATTTTGTAAAGCCCATGTTTGTAGGACATAAGACTGAGGAGGAGGGGGTGAAGAGAGGAAAAGCAGATTGCTCTCACACCTCATCCCATGCCCCACATTACTGGCCCCAACTGTGAATACTCCGATGAGACCAGGAGCATGTATGTTCTTCAGAGCTAAGAGGGTGCCGTAAATGGTAGACGTTATCTCCCGTTCCTGACGCACCTCAGAGGACAAGGAGAAAAGCCTCACTGCTGTGTGGTTTGCTTCCGACGCTGGGAGAGACTGGCAGCAGCCCTCCACCAAAGAAGGGGAGAGTGCCCTGGCCAGATTCAAAAGGATGTGTAGGATGCACAAGCAACTGCCCGGCTCTCTTCATCCTCTGAGGAGCTATCTTCCTGACAAAGGAAGCAAGGATCAAAACCCAGACACATCCCTAACGACCCCTCCAGACACACAGTCCTGCTCCAGTCATTGCTGCGGTCTGCAGTGACAGAACAAAAGAAAGGCAGGATGAGGGAGCTCAGTACTGCAGAGCATCACTGTGGGCTAGGTAGAAAATCAAGATCTCCTTTGTATTCTGAGGATTAGCAAGGGAAAAAAGATCCCCATTTTTGTTTAACAAACAGCAGCAGGTTTTCTATGCTGATAAGAGCCCTACCCCCTAGAGGGCTGCCACACACAGTGTGAGCACATAGTCTTTGAAATGGTCTTTGGGAAATCCATATCTATATACCAACCTATTTTGTGAGCACCTACTATGGACCAAGGCTAACTATAGGGTGGACTCATAGAATGCTGTAATTGAGAAAAGGCTAAACCCCTACAACATGAAGAAAAAAAAATATTGCCGTCTGCTGTGCCCTCTGATTGCCTGATTGACCACATCTGAAAGAGAAATGGCCAGCACCATCTCTTCATCCAAATGACAGGAACAGGAACGGGAGGAATACACAGACCTCTGAGGTGCATGAAGTGATAAATGGGCAAGTCATTTAAATGATATTTTTTAACTATAGTGTGCTTTTGCATGGATGCACAATTAATCCTTCGATATATAATATATATATGCATAATATTTAAAGACAGATTACAGTAATGTTCAAAAAGAGTTGATATTAGATGTGGAAAGCTGTGCTTTTTCTGTAACTCACACATTTTGTCCGGGATCCCCCTGGAAAACAAACCAATCAACACTGACATCAGCAGTAAAACAAGGGAACGCATTTAGACAATTCTTTCACTGTGTGCAGCTGTGTTTCCTATTTGGCGTCAGTCCGTGGTTGTCTTGGAATCCTACCACAGTATCTAGGAGAAACGAAGCAAGCACCAACCTTGGAAATGATCACTGCCATGGCTAGGTTCTCGGAATGAGCAGCCACGTAACCGAGCATCATGATGCCGGGCAGTCGTATGTTCCCTCGGCAGGTTTCCATGCAGTCGATCACGGCGGCCACACCTCCCGCATTAACAATCAGCTGTGAGAGCTGAAAGAAAAGGAAAAGGCCCCAGATAGCACAAAATGGTCTTTAAATATGATTTGGCCACTTTATATAGGACTTCAAAATACCTGGTGACATTGAAATACCATTCAAAGAGATTCCTTGCATTTATTAAGGAAATGTTCAAGTATAATAATCCCACTATTTCAAAAGCTCAGCTATTCATAGTAGAAAAGTTTATTCTGTGATTTTAAAAAAATTACACAACTTTTATCCCTCTTGTAATGAATTTCAAAATTCCTCACGTAGACACTAAGCTGAGGGCTAATTCATACCTGGCTTACTACAGAAGTGCCCAATCACAGTGCCTTAGTATAAAGATGAATCACTGTCCAAAGACATCAGACTTAACGTCTGACCTAATTACCCCACACACTAACGGTGATTACTAGCTGGGTTCTTCCATTCTTGAAAAGTCTCAGCTACATATAGATATTGGGTAAAATAAGAGTGAGGATTTTAACATGTAATAAAATGAAAATAGATTAGTCAAAATACACACAGGAAAAGTCGTCTCAACCTCAAAATCAACACAGGCGTGCTTTGCCTCTCTTTCTTTTACATCTAAAAACTCAGAGCAGAAAATCATATTACAGCAGCTATCTATCAGAGTGTCACAGCAGGCCAGGAGCCTCTGTGGCCTGTCCCAACCTACAGATGCAATATCATTCTCACTGCTCCCAGCTGTCATAAAATGATAAGGATGACAGAGGTTCATAGTCCCCACAATCTAGAAATGGAAAGCTAGCAATGATTAGAAACTGGATTTCAAACTCGAATGTCATTAATACAATTCAGTGGTTCTCAAATGGAGGTGATTTTGTACCCTAGAGAACGTCTGACAATGTGTGGAGTCGGTTTTATTGCCACTATTTGTGGGGGAGGGGCAGTGACGCCATCAAGTGGGCAGAGCCCAGGAACCCTGGTGAATAGCCACTCTACCATGTACAGACAGTCATATCATCCAGAATGTCTGCAGTGCTGAGGACGAGGAGCAATGGCCTAGTTAGAGGGCCTGGAGCCAGCCTCAGACCTCATCAACAAACTGGTGTTTCATTTAAAAAACTGGAACTAAGTGTAACTGCCCCGCAGAGACTGCTTTGTCTGTCTGTTTTGTTTTTACCTCGGGTGTGTGCTTTGCGATCTCTCTAATTAAAGTGCACGCGTTCTTCTTCACATATTCATCTTTGTCCTTCAGACAGGTAAGGACAACCGGGAAAATCTCCGCTTCAACAACCATCTCTGCCAGGTCCACAGAGTGCTTTGCGATGTGACTGAGAGCTGAAAGGACCTGGTGCTGATAAGCAGAAAAATAGGTAAGTAAAACAAAGTACTATATAGAGTCCACTAGTCCACCTCGGTGTTCAGATGTAACGTAAACTGCTTTATAATATTCAAGTTTCTTCATGAGAAAATAAAGAGCTACATAGCTATTTAGCACAATCTGAGATTTCTGAGCATTGAGACTTTCACATATTAGTCACAAACTCGAATTTTTAGATTTCCCCAGTAATTCTCTATTGAGTACTTTAAGACCTTTTACAGGTAATTAAAATGTGGGACCTTTAGGTAAAAACATCACTTCTTAATTACACAGCACACATAATTTATGATATGTGTGGTATGCAATACAATAACAAGCCGAATTAATGTCTTTATCACATGATATTGATAACATCTCAAAGAAATTCCCATCACTTAGCTAATGTTAACAATTAATGTATGTGTGTGTTAGTTGTATAATTGGTGAATTTAAAAAGCTAACAGGGGACTAATAAACATGAAAATTTCATAAGAAATTCAAATATTCTAGTGGTGGGCTAGAAAATCTTTAGGTCCTTATCTAGTCAAAGGCTCTCCTAACTAGCTACTTTGGTCAGGCCAATGCCTTATTTTAGTTGTTAATGTTAATACTAATGCTACCCAGAGTCTTCAGTATTGCACATAGATTTCCAAATAACCTCTTAAATGTGACACTCAAAGCATTATTTCCACGTCTTAAAAGACCCAAGACACGATATATTTGTATCTGCTTTCAACGGTATTTCTAATTGTTTTCCTCTGTAACATTAGTCTGTACACATCTTCATGTTCTTGGATTGTAAGAACCCTGGCTTGTCTGTTGTCTCTTGACCTCCATTTTAAATACCTTCAATTTTTCATCAGGGTTGAGGATCATCTGGGCTAAGTGAGCAATAGCTCCGACATCCACCACCGTCTGTGCTAACTCTGGAGAATGCTTTGAAATGTCACTGAGGGCCGAGGCAGCAATCCTTTTCAAAGCAATTTCTGGCTCCTGGATACAGAGCACTAAAAGAGGAACAGCTCCCGCATCCACCACAGCTTGTGACAGTTCTGTGGGTCCAAGAAAAGTAATTAAGTGAGTATGGGTGACTGACCCTTGTGCAAGCCATCTTTCACCCTGACAGATAGAGCAAAGAAAAGAGGGGAGGGTGCACTCCACTCTCCCGACATCTGCATTTCAAATCAGCCTTTCTGGTTTCATAAACCATGTGGACCAATCCCGAGCTGAAAAGAACACAGGTCAATAGATGGACCTCCATTTACATGAACACATTTGAGGTAGATTAGGCTGAAATGGCTTGTTATCCTTTTTTTTTTTTTTTTTTTAAGAGAGTAAGCAGATGTCAGCTGTTTAAGCTCTGGCAATTCTGCACTTCTCAATAGGCAAGCGTTTTATGCATGGTTTACAATAACAGAGAAAACTAAAGTACCAAAAATTTACCAACCACACTAATTAGGCAGTATTTTGTTCTATTTACATGAGTAAACATTAGCATGAATCATGGACCAATAATGTCGATTTTTAAATTCCTTTCATTTTCTAATACTTCAAAAAGATTTTAAAAAATATTTTATACAAAGTAAAAGACTGTCTTTTCATTGTATGCTAAAACACTTTAAAAATGAGGTTTAAAACTTATCAATATACTTTTATATATAAGTATTAATATAGATAATTTAGATATATCTATATTATATAGATAATTTAGATAAGGGAATATGTAGCTAGAGTTTTCCTGCCTGGCCCACAGTCAGGACAAATCTCTATCACCTGCCGGTCCCACAGTCGCTCAGACCCAACCAAGTAAACACAGAGACTTATATTGGTTACAAACTGTATGGCTGTGGCAGGCTTCTTGCTAACTGTTCTTACAGCTTAAATTAATCCATTTCCATTAATCTATACCTTGCCACATGGCTCATGGCTTACCGGCATCTTCACATGCGGTTTGTCATCTTGGCGGCTGGCAGTGTCTCTCTGACTCAGCCTTCCACTTCCCAGCTTTATTCTCCTCCTTGTCCCGCCTACATTTCCTGCCTAGCCAATGGCCAATCAGTGTTTTATTTATTGATTAATCAGCAACACATTTGCCATACAGACCATCCCACAGCAGGAATAAATTTATATTTACCATGTTATACAGAGAGCAAACAAATATCTTTTGAATATACATGTTGATTTACTTGTATGTCCAAAAATAACAGCTATAAAGTAATAATTTTACATTTCAGAGAATGAGAGATGTTGGAGCAGACCCTTATAATACACATGCAATAAATGCCATTTGAGAAGCGGGAAGCTCTGTCCAGTAACACATTATACTCCTGATGCATGTGTGGTCTCATGGAATCACATACACCATTTCTCTAATTTCTTCCTCCCAAATTACATCTGTATTTCCCCATATTTCTACTGCCTTAGATATAAATAAATGTCTTAATTGTCAAGTTAAAATAGCTATTTACCATGTCGCTTTAGTCTTTAATTTGAAGAAAATACTTAATTTTTCAAAAGATTGGTAATACTACATTTTCTATTGTTAGCAAATACAGGTTAGTGTCTATAATTTGTTTTCCTCAAATTATCATAATTGAAGTCTCAATAATGTATAAACATTTTATTCATTCCTTCAATAAACAAGTATTGATGGAAGGTTATCATGTACCAGGGTCATTAAGTTCTGCAGCCTGTGACACACTTCTACAAATTAACACTACATTCATTAGCAAATGTTTGAATTTTTTTAAAAAAATTTGGTGTGAAATATGATATAAAAGTGAAGTTTAGATGCCATCTCAAAAACCTGGGGAAATAAGAGGGTTTTTTTTTACACAAACGTAATATCAGAAAGACTGGGGTACCACACAACAATGTAGCAGGTCCCTCAGAAGTATCTGCTGCTCCATCCACTGGAAGATGGACAGGACAGCAGTCACAGAAGGCGATCCCTGCTTCTCTCACACACACCCACTCAAGGGAAAGAGAAGAGAATATAAAGTTCAGTGTGTGTCGTTTCTAAATACAACACTCAAATTTCCTGTTAGTTAACAGGTTCCTGAGAGATTCAAACCAACCGAAATTATACAGGTGTTATATGGTAATATCAATTTTATATATGCCCAATTTATATATGCCCAATTTTATATATGTCCAATATAATGGACAAGATGGTAAACACTGTCAACTTGGCACCCAGGAGGCAGACCTCCAGGCACACTCGTGAGGGACTGTTTGGATTAAGGTTAGCCTCTAAGAGTGTCTGAGGAGGATTGTCTCACTAAGTTAATTGATGTGGGGAGACCTATTGTGGACAATACCAATCTCTGAGCCAGGGCCCCGGGCTCTGTAAGACTGAGACTGCAAACTGAGCACTACCATGGATGACGTCATTCATCCCTCTCTGCTCTTGACTGTGGATGCAATGTGGCCAGTTCTTTCAAGTTCCTCCCACTGTGATGTCCCTGCCCTGATGGGCTGAAACCCGGAATCATGATAAACCCGGTCTCCCTCACAGTATTTTTCACAGCTGCAGGAAAGAAACTGAGACAATTGTCCAAACATTTATCTACAGAAAGTAGAGAGATTAATTCACTTCAGCGCTTTCACTCTCATACAATTTCCAGGAGTAAAGAGCACACAGTGAACTTCAACTCTTTAAAGGAAATATTAAACCATCTCCAGCTAAATAAATAAGTCACTAACAACAAAAACTTAAGGTTCTTTCTATAAGACACCTATTTTATAATATGCATATATTTTCTCATTGAGTGATTGTTGGAGTAACAAACGCTCCACCACCCAAATGCTGAACCATTAATAATAAAACACACGTCCTGAAATGCTACCTCGATCCACCCTATGCTGCTCTGCAACAGAGCAGTGTTGTGAAATGTCAAGATCCTGGGAACGTCCCTGGAAAAAGATTGCAATAAGGTGATGAAATTTCCAAGGACCTGCACTAGGCCCAGCAACTCTGTACTTAGATTCTCCCATCCTTTACATCAGTGAATGTATATGGTCCAACGATGCTGGCATCTGCCCTTGAATGCCACATGGTGTTCCTTAGAAATAATATTGACCTATGACCTTCACACATGCAGTCTCTATTAGCTGTTCTTCCCCAGGTGAGGACACATTAGCCCGGGAATATGGTACACATCCTGCCTTCAACCCCACTCTCTTTTCAATGGTGCCTCTCCTTTTCTCAATTACTGCTTCCTAGTGTGTCAAGCCAGTGACCACTGGTGTATACCCAGCATACTTGTCAGTGAGGGCATGGGCTTGGGAGTCCATCTTGACCAAAAGGACCTAAGTTGAAGTCTACTTGAAGCTTTATAAAGAGCTTTTCTGCAATAGACTAAGATTCACAATAACAAACAGCGCTATTTTTTCACTGGGTATGGGCATGTCTGCAAATGACATCTGAAACGCTTACCCCCATCTTGTGGAAGACATCACCAATATTTTGAAGATGGCTGAGTACAAAAATGAAAAACACCTGGGTCCTCCATGACACTGTTCAGCTTGGAACTGCCCTGACTCCGAACTTTATGTCATCTGACATATTTTTTTTTTTTAAGTTCTTATTGCTTAAGTCACTATGGTCGATATTCTGTAACCTACAGCTAGAAACACCCAGATACAATTCTTTTCTGTCCTGTGCTTGCTGTATGTCCATATGTCCACATCTTCCTTCACTTGCTAAGGATTCAGTGTGCTTCCTGCTGGCTGGAAACTTGGCTAGACTTGGAGGAAGTAAACAGAGTAAAACCTTGTTCTAGACTAGAACTGAATCCAGGTGACTGCAGGAACAGACCCCACACGCACAGAGCAGAACCAGGCCTTGGGTCTGTGGTGCATTCCAGGAAATGTGTGCAGGGGCTTCATTCCAGGAAGTGCTTCCCATCTGCTGCCCTCTCCCTTCCCCCTCTCCTTTGCTTTCCTACTCTACACAAAGGGTAACAGGAACCGAACATCCAGAAAATTCTGCACATCTAAAACTTCTCTGAAGAAAAATCTCGGGGAGCTGGCTATTTTGGTTTCTTTGTGTGTGTGTGTGTGTGTGTGTGTGTGTGTGTGTGTGTGTGTGTGTGTGTGTTTTGCCTGCACTTAGGTCAGTGCACGGTAACCATGCCTGGTGCCCACAGAGGCCAGGAGAGGGTGTCAGATCCCTTGAGACTGGAGTCACCGATGGTTGTGAGCCACCATGTGGTTGCTAGGACTCAAACCCAAGTCCTCTAGAAGAACAGTCAGTACTCTTAACCACTGAGCCATCTCTCCGCAGGGAGCTCATTTTAAAACTATTTTAGAAGCCAGCTTTTGTTTGTTCAATTAACATGCTTATGAAAGCAATGATTGGTATGTACACAGATGCTCACTGAAAGCTGTTTCAAAATAAATAGAATAGGTCAGGTGTGGTAGTAAACACCTTTAACCCCAGCACTCAGGAGGCAGATGTAGGCAAGTTCTCTGAAGTCCATGCTAGCCTGGTCTACACAGTGAGTTCCAGGTCAATCAGGGCTACATAGGAAGACCTTATCTCAAAAATCAATTAATTTTTTAAGTGTAGCTAAGAAACTTGTCTTCAGTACCTGAAAATATCTTAGCCTCATTTTAAACTAATCTTCAAAATCAATTTATAAACATCTTTTATTATATAATAACGTGACATAATCTTACATTGTTCAACAACAGACTAAAAGTGTATATAACTATGTTTCAAAAGTCCATCGGAGGCTTGGTATGGTTGTGCAATCCTTGGTATGGTTGTGTAATGCAGAATTTGGAAGGGTAGGTATGACAGTCCAAAGTCTTCCTCAGCTCCATAGCAAGTTTAAGACCAGCCTAGGCTACATGAAATCCTGCTTATTGCCATTTTATACATAACAGCGAGGAAATAGAAGCAGCCTAGAAGTCCATCAACTGATGAATGGATAATGAAAATATGACATATAAAATGTAATTTTATTAAATTTTCAGGTTAATGTATGAAATTGGAAAAAATATATTCAGTAAAGCAACCCAGACATATAACAACAGACCCCTCCCACCAGGCCTGGTGGCACATACCTTTAATCCTAGCACTTGGGAGGCAGTAGCAAGTGAACCTCTGTGAGTTTGAAGCCAGCCTGGTCTACATAGTGAGTTCCAGGCCAGCCAGGACTACATAGAGAGACCCTGTCTCAAAAACAAAACAAAACAAAACAAAAAACAAACACCTTAAGTTCTCCTTCATATATGGACTGTGTTAGTTGAGGTTACTATTGCTCTGTTGAAACACCATGATCAAAGCAACTTGGAAAGGAAAGGGTTTATTTGGCTCACACTTCCATATCACTGTCCATCACTGAAGGAAGTCAGGACAGAACCCAAGCAGGGCAGGAGCCTGGAGGCAGGAGCTGATGCAGAGGCCATGGAGGAGTTTTGTACTTAATGGTTTGCTCATCGTGGTTTGCTCAACCCACTGTCTTATAGAACCCAGGACCACCAGCCCAGGGATGGCACCACCCACCATGGGCTGGGCCCTCCCCCATCAATCACTAATTAAGAAAATGCCTTACAGCAGGATCTTATGGAGACACTTTCTCAGTTGAGGTTCCCTCCTTTCAGATGACCCTAGTTGTGTCAAGGTGACATAAAAGCAGTCAGCACAGGACCCTCACTTCAAATCTAATTGTGTGTGTTTAACTTAGAAAGAGACTGTTCTTCCCTGCCAGCTTTCATGAACCAGAGGATGCTCTGAAGGCAGCTGTGGGGGAAAGGGCATCAGAGGTCTGTCTTACCCATCTGTGAAACACTGGGCTGTGCCCTAAACCCTCAATCTTACTTCTTAATTGTGCATTAAGAAGTTGTCCGTTAAGATCAAAGTGAGTGAACTCAAGCCTACGGGGCCCAGGAGAGAAACTAAATAAAGCCTGGAGAAACAAGGCAAACAGGACCCTTCGGAGCAGCGGAGAAGGGGAAGGCCTCTATCTACAACAGCAGTTCCCAGCCGGAGCCCTGTGTGGCCATGCTGGAGTACAGGCATGCTGTTGTTAGAGCCTTCGCAAATGTGAAGTTCCCTGGCCTTTAAGGGTTAGCAACTTTCTTTTTGAAAAGAACTCTGTGTGAGACAACATAATGCAGGCCAAATCAAACACATCCACCTGGGAGCCGGCTTCCAACCCAACCACCGTTTTACAGCCTCGGGCTTAACTCTAATGGCTTCTTAAACGACCTGTGCAGGGGCTCTCTTGATATGGAAACATGGTGTTCTTTCTCCCTTCCATTCTTACAGGCATGGTCAGGGCTCTCATAGAGAAGGCCCTCTACAGAGCTGAAGGGAAAACGACCAACACAACAAAGGGGCAGGGCCCCTCTAAACACAGATGCGGCTGCTGCTTCTGCTCATAATCATAGAGGAGAATTTGAGCAAAAGGAAGTGACTCTGGGGACTCATACACGGTACACCAAATGAAGAGGCCTTCCAAAATGAAAAAAAAGGAAGAAAAAGTATATGTGTGTGTGTGTTCTGGCATACAAATTCAGCAACTCCTCTGGAAACCTAATTTCTTTAACTTTACTTATTTTTATTTTATTTCTAAGCCCTGCAAAGTTATATTTCAACCTGTTTCCTTATAAAAATACAAGAAGTCATTAATCCAATTCCTTATGCCCT